ATAGTCTGGATAACAGTCCTTTATTAAACATGTGTTTTGCAGAGATTTCCTCCAAGTCTGACTTGTCTTTTTATTCTCTTGTCTAAAACATTTTGAAATAAAGTTGTTATTATATTTTCTAGTTTCTTGTATCTCTGTTGTACTTTTCTCTGTTTCCCCTTCTAGTCCTAACATTATTTATTTGTTGTTATTTCTCTTCTATCTGGATCAGACTCACAGAACTTTTTTCACTAGTGTTTTCAAAGATCTGGGCTTCCCTTGTGGCTCAGCTAGTAAAGAATCCACCTGCAATATGGGAAACCTGGGTTTGATCCCTGGGTCGGGAAGATCCCCTGGAGAAGGGAAAGGCTACCCACTCCAGTATTCTGGCCTGGAGAATTCCGCGGACTGTATAGTCCATGGGGTCACAAACAGTTGGACACGACTGAGTGATTTTCACTTTCAAAGATCTAATCTTAGTTTTGTTGGCCATATGAATCACGTCCTTTTCTATTTTATTAATTTGTTCTCTGATTTTGTTATCCTCTTCCTTCTAGTACTTTGAATTTATTCTCTTGTTTCTTTCTAATATATTAGCTGGTCACTTATATAATTGATTTTCAGTATTTCTTATTTTCTAGTGTAAAAAGCATATGTTATATGTTTACATGTATCATGTAAATTTTCTAAATATGTATAGCATTTTTTTACTTCTCAAATCTAATATTGTACATTTTAATTACGATTTCTTCTTTTAACTTTTAGTAGGATTTTTAAAAAATTCTCCAAATATATGGAGTTTTTAAAAATAATTATTTTATTATTGATTTTTAACTTAAGTGTAATGTGGTCAGGGAATGAGATCTGTATTCTCTGACCACATCACACTGAAGTTAAAAATCAATAATAAAATGATTATTTTTAAAACTACATACATGTGGAGGGGGCTTCCCTGGCGGCTCAGACAGTAAAGAATTTGCCTGCAACACGGGAGACCTATTAGGTTCAATCCCTGGGTCTGGAAAATCCCTTGGAGAAGGAAATGACTACCCACTCCAGTATTATTTCCTGGAAAATTCCATGGACATAGGAACCTGGCAGGCTCTTGTCCATAGGGTTGCAAAGAGTCAGACACGACTGAAGTGGCCTAGCACTAGCACATATTTGGAGAATTTTCTAAAAATCTTACTAAAAGATTATTTACAGCATTTTTCTCTGTGGTCAGAGAATGAGAGCTGTATTCTCTGACCACATTACAATTAAGTTAAAAACAATACAAAAATGATTATTTTAAAAACTCCATATATTTGGAGAATTTTTTTTTAATTTGGAAAATTTTTAAAATATTTTACTAAAAGATTCTTTACAGCATTTTTTTTTCAATATGTAGAAAGTTGTTCAATGACCTAAATCAAAATTAATTTTCTTAAATCTTCTTTGTTTTTAAAGTATGTGCTCTCTCAAAATGCTGTGTGCAAGAGTTCTATACATATTCCTTTCCCTGGTGGCTCAGACAATAAAGAATCTGCCTACAATTACTGATGTGTCTTAGATGTTTTTTCATATTTAAGTGTGCAGTAGGCTGAATGTTTTGTGTCCTTTGAAAATTCGTACATTGAAAACTAACGCCCAACGTAATGGTATCAGGAAGGGGAGACCTTTGGGAAATGATTAGGACATGAGGGTGGAGTCATCATGAGTAGGATTAATGCCTTATAAGGGAGACCCAAGAGAGCTCCTTATCTCTTAGGCCAAGTGAGGACACAGTCTGGTCCTGGTCTATAAACCAGGAAGCAGGCATTCACCAGACAATAAATCTGTTGTCACCTCGATCATGGACTTTTCAGCCTCTGGAACTGTGAGAAGTAAATCTCTGTTGTTTGTAAGCTGCCCATCCAATAGAGGCTTCCCTGGTGGCACAGACAGTAAAGAATCGCCTGCAATGAAGGAGACTTGGGTTCAATCCCTGGGTCAGGAAGATTCCCTGGAGGAGGAAATGGCAACCCACTCCAGTATTCTTGCCTGGAGAATCCCTTGGACAAAGAGGAGTCTTGGGGTCAATAGGGTGGCAAAGAATCAGACACAACTTGAAGCAACTTAGCACAGTCAATAGTAACTTTTAATTACTAGTCCAAAGGGACTAAAACAAAGAGTGAGATACTAAGAAGTTGATTGGAAATTTTTTATGCACAGATGGAGCTTGTTGACTGTATCTTAAATGTAGGGTGATTGCTTATGGATATAGACAGTTTATTATGGGATCCTTCAAATGATGTATCCTTCCATTCTAATTTCTATCTTTTAAAATTATACCAATATTTGTCTCCTCTCCTGTTCTTTTTCTTCTTTGGCCTTATAAACTTTTCACTCCTTTACCTTCATTCTAAATAAAAGCCCCCCCCAAAAAAACCCCCACTTTTTATTGAAGTACAAATGCCTTCAGAAAAGTGTCCATAGACATGCAACCTGAACACACATGTAAATCAGCACTCAGATTAAGAAACAGAACATTATCAGCCAGAAGCTGCCATGTTCTCTTCCAGAGTCATTACTCCACTAACAGTAATTGCTACATTTGTTACCAAACGAAACTTCTGTCCACTCACCTGTGCACAGTAAAGTCAATCTACTGACACAGGGTTGTAGTGGAGGAAAGTGCAGGGTGCCAAGCAAGGAATCTAGGTAGCTAGGACTCAAAAGATTTGAACTCCCTGATGGCTTTCAGAAGAGTTTTTAAAGACAGGGTGAGGGAGAGAGGTTGGGGGTAGGGGGGTGCGTGATCATCTCGTGGACATTCTTCTGATTGATTGGTGATGAGGTAATCAGGAGTCCACATTATCAATCTTCTGTTCCAACTGGTCTGGGATCTAATGCTTATAGCAGCATATAGTTAACTTCTTCACCTGCTAGGGGTTTTGGTATCTGCAAAATAGCCCAAAGGACATAGCTTAGAATATTATCTATAACCTTTGGTGTCCAGTTTCTATGTCATATCCGACTCTTTTGAGACCCCATGGACAGCAGCACACCAGGCTTCTGAGACCTTCACTATCTCTTGGAGTTTGCCCAGATTCATGTCTATTGAGTCGGTGATGCCATCCAACCATCTCATCCTCTGTCACCCCCTTCTCCTCCCTTGAGGAGTAACTAAAGGTCCTTGACTTTGTTTAATGGCCAAACTCTTTTATTTATTTATTTATTTATTTATTTATTTTTTCAAACTCTTATTATTTTGTCTTGCTTGAGTGTTTCCCCTTCTTTCTGTATTTTCTCACTTATCTGATTAATTTTATTCTTTAGAATTCAGGTAAAGTGTAGAAGGCTAAAGTTTTTCTACAGACAAGAGGCAGGCGGAGAACATGGGGAGCAAGGGGTTCTGTCTTTGGAAGGCCCAATAAGGTCCTGCTTGGTTACACATTGACTTCTAACAGCATGGATATTTGCGTAGTTTCCAATTTAGTGCTATTACCAAGTATAAGCATAAGCTTTTTTTGTGCATGCCCTTTAAGTGAACATATGTACACATCTTTGGCTACGCATAGCTTCAGCTTTTGCTGATCCTGCCAAACAGTTTAACAAAGTGATTGGGCCAATTTATGTTCCCTTCAGTAGCCTGAGAGTTCTGGTTGCTCCACAGTCTTGCCAGTACTTTGTATTTTCTTTTTCATTTTAGCCTTTCTGGTGGGTATGTAAGGGCTTCCCAGGTGGTGCTAGTGGTAAAGAACCCACCTGTCAAAGCAGGAGACTTAATAAACATGGGTTCGATTCCTGGTGGGGAAGATCCTCTGGAGGAGGGTATGGCAACCCACTCCAGTTTTCTTGCCTGGAGAATCCCATGGTCAGAGAAGCCTGGTGGGCTACAGTTCATGGGGGTCACAAACAGACACAACTGAATGGCTGAGCATGCATGCATGTACGTGGGTGTGTAAAGGTGTCTCATTGAGGATTTTTATGAAATATGTTATTTGTGGATCTTCATTGCCACATGCCAGGTCTTTTATTGCGGCATATGAGCTCTAGTTGTGGTGCGAGGGCTTGCTCCATGGCATGCGGGATGTTAGTCCCCAAAACTGGATGGACCACAACCCCTGAATTGCAATACAGATTCCCAAGAAGTCCTTCTCTGAGGCCTTAATTTGCATTTCCCCTTTACTTTTTTGTTTTTTAGGTGTTTTAGGATGGAGCAGATGAAAATGCAAGGGTTTAATGCTGTATATCTGCCAGAAAATTTCCCTTAATGGGTAATTACATAATGGAACTTAGAACCTTTTCTCCTGTACTGGAAGCCACACGATGTAGTGATGAGGTCAACAAGTTTTGCAATCAGATATACTATTTTGATTCCCAGCTCCAATTCTTATTTGCTGAATTACCCTGAGAAATTTATTTAACCTTTCTCTACATTATGTAAAATGGCACTACTAATAGTACTGTCTCATGAGATTATGAGGATTAAATGAGATAAAATATGTAAAACGTTTTGCAAAGTTCCTAGCATACTATTAGCACAGAGTCCCCAAATGGCAGCTATTATTATTCCTTATATTGTTTATGCACATCTCATTTCTCCTATTTTACACATTCTGTAAAATGTGACAGCATTTTAGTATAAAAGCAAAGCAACAGCACATAGTATACATAAGGTGCCTCACAAATGACAGCTGCTGATAAAGACTGGGTGAAAGTTTTTAAATATAAATGGAAGGTATGGTGGTTCTTGTTATAAACGATGGCATACGTATTATAATGGATATAGTATAAAAGGCACTTCTAATGAGGAATGTATTATTTAAACAAGTGTCTCTTCTGTTTACCTTCCTCATTTAATAGCTAAGAAAATCAGTGCGGTGCAGAAACACCCCCGAGCTAATTAGTAAGGACAGTTAGAAATTCCATATTGCATTTGTGATGGTTCCAGAGGTTTTTTCCTTAAAACCAAGACAAACAAAAATATCACCGAGGGGGGTAAAAAAAAAAAGGCAGCACTTATCCGAAAAGGTGTTAAGCCTTTCCGATTTTAGCAAAGCCTTTGTTCAGCACTGGAGAAACCGGTTAAGGCACCAGCAGCCCGAGCTGCTTCCGTACAAGATGGCGTCGCCCACTTGTACACCCCGGCTGGGGTTACGTCACGAAACCGGAAGTGGTTTCCGTCCTAGAGGATTCGGGTGGGTGCGCGCAGGTGGTCACAGAGGTTCCAGATCTTCAGCGTGGAGTGCCGCAGGTGTTCGGGTCGGGTCCAGGGCCGCAGGTAAGTAAGCCAGCGCACTTCGCCTCGGCGGCCGACGAGGCTTTTCTCTGGGTTTGTGCGAATGGTGGAGGCGGTTTTCCGTGCGGATTGAGGAGAGGGCTCAAGATGCTGGCGATGTCACCGTGCGCGGGGGCGAATGATCGCGGGGACCTCGTTGTCCCCGAGCGACTTGGCCCTGCCCCTCTCCCCGCCTTCCTCGCCGGTGGCGGGGGCAGTTCAGCACCCAGGTGCGCCGCGAGGGATGTCACCTCGATCGTTGGCTCCCGGTGGCCTTCCGGGGCCACCTCCTCGGACCCGCGTCTGCTCTCTTTAAGGAGTACCTACCAAACCTTCCTGGCTGCTTGACCCAGTTAGCTACAAAGGAAGCACCGCTCGCAACATCTGGCAGCTCCTTAGGCGCTGCGTGTTGCACGCGTCCACAGATAAGAGTTTCGTCCCCTCGATTCGTGGGGACCTACGCCCGCCCCCATTGTTACCACCTCTTTCTTCCCAGACCACACCCGCTGCTGTGGACCTTGCTGGGAGGCACCTCTTTTTCTTTCGCAAACCTGGAGTGTGGATCAGGGCTAGAACCGTGATAATGATTTATTACAGAATTGATACCTGCTTGTTAAAACATAAACGAAACCTAAACTTTTATAAGCCTTTGATATATTAATGGACACAAACTCCCTTAGACACTCATTTCTTGAAAACGCTGAAATATTTACACTGTAGAACTGAACTGAAAGGTTTTGTAACACCAAAGTTGCGAAGTTCGAGAGAAAAAGAGTGATTTAAGAGAAAGGAAGGAATTACAAATTTTGGTCAAGTTGAGTTTGCTTTTTAAAAATGTATTTATTCTTTTACATTTATTTTAGCTGTAGTCCATGCATACAGTCATGTCAAAAATTTACACAAAATAGATCCTCTTTGACCTCTTTCCATCTCCATCTTTTCTTTTTTAATTTTTTGCCCCAAGGTAAAAACTGTTATCAGTTTGGCTTGTTCTATTTCTTTTTGTTTACATTTATTGATATGTGTTTGTACAGATACGTGTGTAAAATTTTGTGTTAAACTTTTACCAATGTGGCATATTGTACCTCATCAACAACTAAACTTCTTATGCTTAAAAATGGGTCTTGGAACTTTTTCTTTGTTAATATGTAGACATCTGCCATATTTGTTCTACTTGCTCTGTAAATTCCAGAACATGTTACGATCCCATAATATGTGAGATTCCATAGGTTGCTTAGTTTTTCCATCTTAGGCACAGTGCGGCAGAGAACATCCTCCCACAGCGTCTGTGAGCTTGAGTGAGCATTTCTCAAAGATAGAAACCTGCAGGTGGAATTGCTGGGTGGGAGGGTGTGGATATTTAATGCCAACTGCCCACCAGCAGTGGATAATAATATCTGTTTTCCCAGCTCTTTTAAACATTTGATGGTGTCAGCCTTTTTTGCTTTTGCCAGTCTGATGGGTGGGAAATGACTCTAATTTGGTGTTTTAATTTGTATTTCCCAGGTTATTGGTGAGATTGAGCATCTTTTCATGATTGTTGGCTATTTGTATTCCTTCCTCTTTTGAGAAATGCCTCACTTCTTTTGGGTTGTCTGGTTATATATGGTAATGTTTTATATATTAATCTTTTGTCATTCATATACATTTGAAATATTTATTCCCAACATTTTGAAGTTGTTTCTTATCTCTTAACCATGTGGCATCTTTGTAAAATCAAAGTTGTAAATTTTACATTAAAATATATCAGTCTTTTACTTTGTGTATTTAGTGGGCTTTCATTCCTAATCCCAGTGGTTCTCAAATGGGAGCTGTTTTGCTTTCTGGTAGTCACTTGGCAATGTCACGAGATCTATTTTGGTTGTCGTCCAGTGGCTAGAAGCCAGGGATGCTGTCAAACACCCTACAGTGCCCAGGAAAGCCCTTAAGCAAAGATTTTTTCTGGCCTAAAATGTCAGTAGTGCTGAGGTTGAAAAACCCTGTTCTACCTTGAGGCCGCGTTTTCTCTTACCACCATGTTTTCTCCTGTAAGTTGTTATATGTTAGAGTTTTTCTCTAATTCCTTTGTGTGTGTGTCAGAGAGAGAGAGAGAGGGAATGGTGTGTGCCTTTTTCTTGTTTTCCAAGCAATGTCGCTCTGAATATCAGTCCATCCTTGACCCATTAATCTAAAATACCACATTTTTCATGTACTAATGTCTCACCCAATGTCTTTTCTATATGCTCTTCTTTCCTGTGTCCTAATTTTCTATTTTGTTGGGCCAATACCGTAGCATTCTACATTAAATATACATTATACTTTGGTATCTAGTAGGGTAAGTAGTCCCTCATGATTATTTTTATTGTTATTTTATTGAAAGTCATACTTTATCAGCTCACGTACTTATTAATCAGTGTTTTGGGGGTAGTCTTACAGTTTCTTTCCCAGATTAATTTTAGAATCAGCTGGTCAAGTAGTTTTTTTCTTTTTTTAAGTGAGTTTATTGTGGTGTCCTAAATGGGAAGAGGTGGCTCAGTGGTAAAGAATCTGTCTGCCAATGCAGGAGACATGGGTTTGATTCTTGGACTGGGAAGATCCCCTGGAGAAGGAAATGGCTACCCACTCCAGTGTATTCTTGCCTGGGACGTCCCATGGACAGAGGAGCCTGGTGGGCTACAGTTCATGGGGTCTCAAAAAAGTCAGACACGACTTGGTGACTGCAACAAAACGGAAAGGAAATCTAAGAAAGACTAGGCATATGTATACATATGACTGATACACTTTGCTCTGCAACAGGAAACTAACACATTGTAAAGCACCTGTACTCCAATAAAAATTAATACAAAAATAATTGCATTTAAAAAATAAGATGGTTTTATTGAAATGTAATTCACATAATGTTTTTTAAAGTACACAACACAATTCAGTGATTTTTTTAGTAAATTTCCGGTTAAGCAGTCATTGCTATAACCTAATTCTATTTTATTTTTAAAAGTTTATTTATTTGGCTGTGCCAGGCTTAATCGCAGCATGTGGGATCTAGTTCCCCGATCAGGGATCAAACCCTGGCCCCCTGCATTGAGAGTGCAGAGTGTTAGCTACTGGACCACCAGGGAAGTCCCTACAGCCTAATTTTTGGACATCGTTATCATCCCCCAAAGACAGTTGCTTCAGTCATGTCCGACTCTTTGAATGGACTCTAGCCTGCCAGGCTCCTCTGTCCATGGGATTATCCTGGCAAGAATATTGGAGTGGGTTGCTATTCCCTTCTCCAGGGATCTTTCCCACCCAGGGATCGAACCCGTGTCTTCTGCAGCTCCTGCATCACAAGTGGATTCTTTACCACTGACCCACCTGGGAAGCCCAAAGGAGCCCATACCTATTATCAATACCCATTCCCCAGTATCCTAGCCCTGTGCATGTTAAGTCACTTCCATCATGTCCGACTCTTTGAATGGACTCTAGCCTGCCGGGTTCCTCTGTCCGTGGGATTCTCCAGACAAGAATACTGGAGTGGGTTGACATTTCCTCCTCCAGGGGATCTTCCTGACCCAGGGATCGAACCCAGGTCTTCTGCATTGCTGGCAGATTGTTTACCGGCTGAGCCATCAGGGAAGTTGCTAGCCCGAGCCCTAGACAGTCACTAATCTTTCTGCCTTTATAGATTTAAGTATTTTGTGTAAATGGAATTGTACAGTTTTTTTGCACGGTTTTGTGATGGGCTTCTTTCACTTGGTATACTGTTTTCAAGGTTCATACATGTTGCAGCGTGTATCAGTACCCATTCCTTTTTATCTCTGAATAAAATTCCATTCTGTGGTGTATTTGTTTCCTAGGGCTACAGTATCGAAGTAACGAAAACTGGATGGCTTAAAATAACAGATCTATTCTCTCACAGCCTTGGAGGCTATAAAGTCCAAAATCAAGTTGTCAGCAGGAATGCATTCTCTCAGGTCTCTACGGGGGAATCCTTTCCTGCCTCTTTCTAGCTCCTGACGTTGCCAGCAGTCCTTGGCATTGTTTGGCATTCCTTGGCTTGCAGCTGCATAACTCCCAACTTCTGCCTCTGCCTCGCCTGGCCTTCATCCCAGCCTTCATCCCAGCGTGTCTATCTTCATGTTGTAATTCTCTTTGTGAAAATCTGTATCAGTCTTTTCTCCCCTTCATATAAGGACACCAGTTATTGAATTAAAGGCACTCCACTCTAGCAGGACCCTGTTTTAACTTAATTAGGTATGCAGAGGCCATTTCCAAATAAAGTCACGTTCATAGATAGTGGGAGTTAGGACATTAACATGTCTTTTGGGGGAATCACATAACATTATGGATCTACCCCATTTTATTTGTTCATCAGCTGATGGACATTTGAGTTGTTTCCACTTTTGGCTATTGTGAATAGTGCTGCTATGAACTGTTGTGTGGACGTGTGTTTTCATTCATCTTGGATATATACTTAGAAGTGGAATTGCTGGGTCATATAGCAACTCTATGTTTAATCATTTGAGCAACTGCTAGATTATTTTCCAAACACCTGTACCATTTTATGTCAACATCAACAGTATATGAGGATTCTAATTTCTCCGCATTATTGTCAGCACTTATTAGCTGTTTTTTAATTAAAGCCATCCTAGGTGGGTGTGAAGTGGTATCTCATTGTGGTTTTGATTTGCATTTCCCTAATAGCTAATGATGTTGAGCATCTTTTCACGTGTTTATTGGCCATTTGTATATGTTCTTTGAAGAAATGTCTATTCATATCTTTGCCTTTTTTAAATTGGTTGTTGTTTTTTTTATTGAATTGTAATAGTTTTTTTATATCTTCTAGATACACACCCTCATGAGATAGATGATGCAAATATATTTTCTCCCATCCTGTGGCTTTTTTTCACTTTCTTGATAGTCAATTCATTAAAAAAATTTTTTTTAATTAAGTTTGCATTTAATTTACATTATTCTGAGTATTTATTTTTTCAACATTAATTATTTTTTATTTTGGCTGCGTTGGGTCTTCATTACAGCATGCAGGCTTCTC